TCAGCTCTGAGTACTTTCCACAGGCAAGCAGCGGCAAAAGGGATGCTGGGGATGGGGGTTATTTCAGCCTCTGCATTTCTTTTTTCATCTATGTAAAGTGCTCACAGCTGAGACAAGCTGCAGCTATGAATCAGCTGTCTCCATCATAGCTGTTGTTGGATTGCCCTGACAGGAGGGGAGGGGGGGTGGTCAGACCTCTTAACCAAAGTTAGAAACATAGGACAAAGTACTAAAAGTACAACATACTTTGTCCTATTGGGGACAGCACTGTAAAATCAAAATTAAAGCAATAGATCTTCTCTAAATCAAAAGTACCCTGTGTGTAAAGTCACGTATAGGTCTATCAATGATGTTTCTTTATTACATGCATTGTTTTATGCCTTTCTATTATTATTTGGTGCTTCCCAAATTGCTTTGTGCCTACTACACACAATTCCTCATACCTGTTTAATGCACATGACTCATTCCTGTATTCTACATAATCCTTAACAAGTAACTATTTTGATGCTTAACAATGAATTCCAGGTTTGGTATAATTTTGCATAAGTTACAATGGTTCAGCTTGGACCAATGTAAGTATGTATATACCATGCCTGGTTGATGCTCCTGGCTGCCGAAAATCACTGAAGTAGGCACCGGTACTCCAGTGATTTCCACTTGCTTTTCGGTTCCATGCTGAGCAGCTGGCCATATGCAACATAGAAGCATGGACAGTGTGAAATCACTGCCCCATCTCTCCAGCTCGTTGATTCAGAGAACACTTTGCATTCATTCAGAAAATGACCTCCAGTGTTCAGTATGCATCAGGCCAGCAGCTCAACACTGGACCCAGAAGCAATTGGAGATCAATGGAGTCTACTACAGTGATTTCCATCTTCCAGAGGCAATATCCATGTATGCTATATACACAGTTACATTGGTTCAAGCTGGACCATGGTTATTATGTAAAAATTATCCATACTTGGAATTCTTTAATTCAGAAGTACTCTGTGTGTGAAACCATGTATAGGTATTTGAACGATTAGTCAGTATTGTTAATTCTTGCTTTGTGTTACGTTGCTTTTTTTTAAACCATTATTAAAAGTTTTTATCCCAGTCCCCATGCAGCTTTATGTCATCACATGCTAGCATGCACCGCATACTAGCACAATATGACAGACTGACCTGTCAAAGACAGTCCTCCAGCACTGTGTTGTCAGTGCTTGGGCGCTTCCATTTTCACCTTGTCTTTCCTCTAGTTTCACTTCATAAGCCACTTGATTGGCCAGGTCGTGATGACATCACTCCCGTGCATGTGCATGGAAGTCACATAACCATGGCACAGATTAGGTGCCATATTGTACACTCAGTGTACATTATTGCTGACAGACAGAAGGTATCATTTATGGCAGAAGAGACAATCAGGGTCTCTTCTTTCATGAAAACCTTGCCTATCAGTGTTTAATACCACTTTCTAGCAACAGCAAGGAATACCGGTTCTTGTACATTAGGGTACATAGAATGTTCAGTGTTGCAGTCATTGTAAACACATTTTTAAAGGTTCATGTACGGAAAAAAGTACCTGCGTGGTTATTTTTTGTCCTGGGATTATATGGCTTTGCTTGCATTGCCACAGAGTAAAAAAAGGAAAGAATAGCCATATCCACTATACATTCCATTTAAAACTAAATTCCAACAGATTAAGTCACTATTTTTTTTACAGTTTTCAAGGTCTTGATTGCCAAGACAGTGGAGTTCATAGGTTGTTCCATCTACAATGGCAATGGGCAAGGAGACCAAGATCTTATAAAGGATGGATCTACATTTTGCTTGCATGCTATGGTCGACATTTAAAAAGTAATTTAATAAAAAAAAAGACAAACTATTACATATGAATATTTTGTATTTTCATCTCCAGTTAGCAGATAAATGACTACAAACCTTTTCACATACTTATGTATCTATCACATGCTTTGATGAAAACAGCCTCCTTTACAGAGCTAAATAACACGGGTTATCATACATTACTGGAAAAGTTAGATCAATGACATCCCTCTCCCCACCTCACCCTGCTTGCCTTCAGATGGGCACAAACTAGGTTTATGTTACAGCAGTAGTAAACCGCAGCTTGAAAAAAAATCCCCTGCAAGGCAAAGTCATAATGTGCTAGTATGCATCGCATACTAGCATATTATGCATTACTTACCTTTAAACGAAGCCCTCCAGCGGTGCACGTTCAGTAGATATTCATTTTACCTACAGGTAAGCTTTATTATAAACTTACCTGCAGGAAAAAGATACAAAAGTGGGTTTGCTTCCACTTTAAAGAGATAGTCTGAGTGTAAATATCATCAGTAGATCATTATAATTTGTAATTTCTGTTTCATGAAATCACTCTATGTCAGGATCAGGTCTCGGGGGCAGAGTCCATTTGGTACAAATTCAGACAAGGTATAAGCTCAAGAAAAGGTTGGATTTGGTATACAGATACGAGCCAGATACAGTACCTTAAAAATTATTCATACTTCTTGAAATTTTCCACAATGTTTTATGAATCGCTGGACCTTTACAAATGGCACCCAAACAACACACACCATGTGACTTCATCAGAGGTAGCTCTGATGAAGTCACGTGGTGTGTGTGACGATACGTGTGAGGAGAAGTCAGGTGACGTCAGTGCTCCTAGGTCTTGCTCTCCATTATTTGATTCTGACCGTTGTTTCATGCGTTTTTAATGCTGTTATCATGTGAGTTCATATGCTTTAATAAATAAATGCCTTTTAAAGAAGCCTACTGCAATATGGTCTACTTTGTGGTTGTCGAGCTTTATCCACAGAGTTGGCTACACTGAAATTGGGTGCCATTTGTGAAGGCCTAGTGATTCATAAGGGGAGGAGTGCACAGAGGAGCAAGTTATGTGTTACCCCACTAATATGGGAGATGCTCTGTTTGACCTGTGTCCACATACAGGTCTATGAGAGAAGGTGAGAGTCCACCTGGAAGTTTATGTTTCCTCTAAGATTGCCCTGCATTTTGGCCCCATCTATCTTCCCAACCAATCTGACCAGCTTCCCTGTCCCTGCTGAAGTAAAGCGTCCCCACAATATGATGGTGCCACCATGTTTCACAGTGGGGATAGTGTGTTTAGGGTAATGTATACACATAGTGCTTTGCTTTTAGGCCACAAAGTTCAATTTTGGTCTCATCTGACCAGAGCACCTTATACATGTTTGCTGTGTCCCCCACATGGCTTCTTGGAAACTGAAAATGGGACTTCTTATGGCTGTCTTTCAACAATGGCTTTCTTCTTGCCAAGCTTCCATAAGGGCCAGATTTGTGGAGTGCACAACTAATAGTTGTCCTGTGGACAGATTCTCTCACCTGAGCTGTGGATCTCTGCAAACATATTAACTACACAGGTTCTGTGGTGGATTAAGGTAGTAATTAAGCTCACTTAGTGTCTTACCTGCATTAAATTAGCCTCAGAACCTGTGTAATCAATATATGTCCGGTTTTAAAGGGATGAGGTGGCAACCTTAGCTTCAGAGTTCACCAAGAAGCAAAGTATGCATGAACGGGGTGGGTAATCAAGGATTTTCAGGTGGAGATGAGCTACTGCCAAACACAGAGGAGTTTCAAGGTTCAAATTTGGACAATAACTAAAAGAAAATAGTATATTATAAAATAGTAGAACAGGCTGTTAGTTTCCCTTTAATATATATATATATATATATATATATATATATATATATATATATATATATATATATATATATATAAAAATGGGTGGGGGGGATTGCTTTGAAGCAAGCCATAAAGACTTCAAACAGTGGTTGGATGCACGGAGACAAATATTTGTATGAAACTGATTGGCTGTAGGTGTCTTACTTTCAATGAACATGGGGATAAGCCAGATGATTTTTAATGTCTGTGGGTACCTTTAAGTGTATAGTATACTTTAGGATATAGGATTGCAAAAAAAAATAAAAAAATACAAGAACATTATTATATACTATAAGCACTACATCCATTTGGATTGCCTGATTTAAAGATGAAATACACTTTCACATAAAGTGCACCTTATCCTTTCTACCTAGCTTTCATACACTAAAAAGTATCCCAACTTCCATTGCCCTAGATGTGTACGTACTTGAACCTCATGGCCAAAGCCTGCTGTAATGTTCATACCCCTGTCAATATATTCTTTTTGCTGGCCATCTCTGCACAGTTGATCCTCATGGACTTCAGTGGAGCTGTCCCTTGAAGCAGGAGGCATCTTCCCAGATGAACTTAAAACATAGTCATTTCATGATTACAGGTGGATCTCTGTAATATCACCCAGTTAGTCCTCCCAGACAAAGATCCACAGTGCCTCATGTAAAGCTCAAGTTACTCCCAGAACTAAGTCAGCCAGTGACCCCTTTCTTCCCCAAGGTCTGCTCTGCTCAGACAAATCTTATGACTACATTAAAACATTTGATATGTAACTTTAGTTAAAAATAATAGGTTCTACTTACTAGCTATACTATATGATTGTGAAATTGGCAACACTTTCTACATTTATCCGACTACATATTATATTAATCTTTTCATTCAAAAGTGGATAGACAACTAAAACATTATTTGCAAAAATATTTATTTTATACATATTTGTGGTATATTTAAATAGACAAAATGATAGATATATAAGTATACAGTTTAGAAATTCTACAGTGTGAGGAATACATTCTTTATATTATTTCACTTACAATAAAAACTGTCATACAGTGTTTTTGTACAGCACATTTTTGTACAGTACAATACATTTACTAGATGAGTTCATCCAGAACAAGTCCTTGGTTTAACACATGGATTCTTATGAAGGAAATCACCAATTCATATTTACAATATGATTTATAGTTAAAACACTATAAATGGGCTACACAAAAAAAATGGTGAACTTTTGCACTGAGTGCAATAACCAGTTCAATACTAATTACAACATTTACAAAGCTGTTACTGCATACATTAGATAGTTTTGCCTAGAAGACTTTTAATCGGTATCTGAAATCTACATCATAATTTGGCTGTAGAATTCCCAGGCCTGCTCGGGATTCATCCAGTGGTGGAGTTTTGGAATTTTTATCAACAAGCTCCATGTCAAAGTAAGAAAACAACAGGGTCATTAACTGCTTGATCTCATGGACTGCAAACTTGCGGCCTGGGCACTTGGTTTTCCCTGACCCGAATGGCATGTAGTAATGCTTCAGTTTCTTTCCTTTCAGAAAAAAGTTGGTCCTTTCTTTCCCATTTTCATCCAGATAACGATCATATTTGAATGTCTAAGAATCAAACATATAAATAAATGAGTATAAGATGTATATGCCTCTATACTAAGTTAAATAGTGATAACTGTAATGAACAATAGTAATATGTGAAGCAACCCATAGCAAAAGAATAAAGGATTTCAGTTTACCGAAGGTAGAAGAAAAAGAGGAAAATGCATTCTTGTTGGTTGCTGTGGGCTTGCTCTTTGTTCAATGTCAGCCATAGACATGAAATGATTGTTACCTGACCAGCCCCCAAGGGCTGTGAAAAACAAAATGATGCATAAAAAAGGGGGGGGGGGGGGGGAATTCACTGGTCTGGCCAAATACAGTATTATGTGGTGATGACTGTGTTCATCACCATCCCACTTTCATACCCAATAATTTATAGCCAACCCATCTGTATAGCAACCTTAACCATGGTAGAAAGCATGGCTATTTGGGTATTCCATTATAGTAATGCTAATGGGATTTAGCTGGCAGTGAGCACACAATGCACATGGAAATTATTTAATATAGCAAGAAAGAATTCCAATGAAAGGAGGTAAAGTGTGGGTCTAAAAGAGGTCTCCCTGTGGAGATGAACAGTGGACATTAGCAAACCTGGAAATATGAAGCGCAAAAGAAATAGCCTCAGAACTAATTGTTGTATAAGAGCAATTTATGGTCTGTACCTTCCAATAATGACCATTATATTCATCGAAGATCCCTAACCCCCTTAATGCTGTTAATGTAAATTAAACCACTCTGCAATAACCCCCCCCCCCCCAAGAAAAAAAAATCAAACAAACTCACACCAAACTATAGCTCTTTTAGTTTTCTAGGATATTGGGATTCATGAAACCTCACATTACACTACTTTCTGTACCACTTACCGTGGGATCTTCATAAATTTCAGGGTCCAGATGTACTGTCTGTGGGTAAAATGCCACAATGTCATCTTTGCGAATGTTGTATGACCCCATATCATCAAGTTGTAAAACAAAGTTCTGTTTGGCCACTCTGATGTTCATTGATGCACTTGATAGCCTCATTGATTCTTTGATTATGCTATCTGTGAATTAAAAGAGATCATAATAAATATTATTTTAGATTTATTTATTTTTTGTTTTTTACACAAGAAATCTCTCTGGTGGTGCATATATTCTTTAGGAATAACTAAAGGGATGCACATGTTTCAGGGCCTGTGAGTTTATAGGGTACCCGCTGCTCCTTTTTGCATCTTGTACTTTAAGGGAAGGTATATTGATTTTTATATATTTTTTCTTATTTGTTTCCTATTGCCATTGCTAAAAAATACAGTTTATTTGTTTTCCAGTCAGGTAAATAGGCAATATTATATATTAGGAATTTTGATATTCGGCAGCAAGTGAGGCTCTTGGCTCCTCTTTCACATGTTTTCTAGGACTCTTGTCTGCTTAAAAAATCTATTGTGTACAGAGCTCAATAACATAAGTTTAAAAGCCTTTAAGCTGTAAACAAAAATCACAATGAATTGACACAAAACCACACATTCTCTTTAAATTATGTAGCACTTCTCATATAATCAAAAAAGGGAAATTATTGCAGTTTATTAAAGCTGTGAATTTAGTTGAAGACTAAATAGTATAAAGTGATTTTCATGGGTTCCAGTTTATACATCTGTTAATATTGTAGCAGAGAAGTGTTTAGAATGACATTTGCCATTAATAGGATAATTATTATTTGTATTATTTCAATACTTTTATTTGTGGAATGTTGTACATTATTTAACCATACCCAAGATAGGCATGTCCTCCAGCTGTTGCCGATTTAGGATAATGAAGCTGTCATTCAATGAAACTTTCTGATTAGATTTTTCCAAGACATGTTTGATTTCTTGAGTTGCCACTTTCATTGCTTTTGGGCACCTGGAAAAACAGGTTAAAATATAAATCCATACTGTTCTAGATCATAGGAGAGACATGAAAAAAGCCAGTGGAATTATTGCCATTCATTTTTTTAATTTTACCTGAGGATGTTGTAGACAGTCCAAAATGTTGCTGGTAGTGTGTTAGCTAAGGAAGCCCAGAGGACTGCCAGATGGGTCCTTGCTTTTTCCCAGTCATTCATGGTGGTAGCTTCATTCATGAACATCCTGTTGTAGATGAGGCTGGAAATATTGTCTCTTTGCCGGACTTTCTCTGGAAGGAGATCTTTGGCTAGACTCTCTCTGGCACTGTGTGCCGTTTTAAAGACGTGAATTGGCAGGCCTGCTACAAGGGCAGGAAAAATTCTGTCAAACTCTTTAAAGTTTTCAAGAGCATTAGGAATTAAAGCTCTTTCTGCTTCTAGTCTAGCCTGGCTCTTCTCATCCTTTGCATTTAGTTCTTTGCCAAAAATAGTGAAGTATCCGGATTCAAACATCACACGATAACAGAAGGCATACAGCCCATCATTTATCCAGTCATTGTTGTTTTCTTTAGATGCACTGAGATGCAATAGGGTGCGTTGAAGATTCTCCATCATGTTAGAAATGAGAGAATCCAGGGCATCACCCTGCAAGGACTTTATAAATGTTTCATGCACGTTTTCTGTTGTGTGGCCATCTGCAGGGTGGAAACTGCTGTGCCCAAAAGCCTAATAAAGGCAAAAGATATTTTTACTTAGTAATAATAGCACCAAGGCAGTTTAATACAGTCATTAGAACATTGTCAGCCAATGAGGTATATGTTTAAAATGAAAACAGAAAAGCACACCAACTGCAACAAATAAGCTGTTGGTGACAGTCTGAAATTGGGAAACTGATTAGATGCTATGCATGATGGTAAAAAAAAAACAAAAAACCTCTGTGCAGCAGCACCCCTAATATCTAATCCCGATCATGATCCAGCGATGTGCATGAGAGCCTTGGCTCTCCGGGGACTCTCCCTCTTCATTGGCTCCTTTGCCTACTGTCAATCACAACCAGTGAGCCTATGAGGAGAGAGAGGGGTAGGGCAGAGCCACGGCTCTGTGGGTGAAGGGACACACAGATCAGCGGCTCTGAAGTGAGCCTGCTTGGGTGCCCCCATAGCAAGCAAGCAAGCAGGAGGAAGGGAACTGAGAAGAGTGGGATCAGGGCTGCTCTGTGCATAGAGTAGGTAAGCATAACAGATTTTTTTTTTTTTTAAGAATTGCCTTTAATATCACTTTAAGCTGGTCTAAATGTTTATGGGTACCATGCCCAATATATCTCTTAAAAATACCAAAAAAAAAAAAGTGCCAGCTGATTTTAGGGTTAAATACTATTTGAGTGATTATCAAAGTAAATGTATACACTAAATGGACGGCATTTAGTTTTTCCAAAGCACTTTGTATCACACAATTTGAATAAAACATGTTTTCACCCGTTGTGCATCTCGATGCAGCAGAGATCTTGTAGCTGCTCCCATCTACCTCCATGCACTCCAGTGATAGCTGAATGTCATTACTCACTGGGCAGGTTTACTTTGATGACAACAGTGGACCATACCTATGTAATGCGTGTTAAAATGTATTTATTTATTATTTATTACAGGTACTTATATAGCGCCATCAATTTACGCAGCGCTTTACATATATATATTGTACATTCACATCAGTTCCTAACCCTCAAGAAGCATACAATCTAAAGTCCCTAACCTACATTCATACATATACATACTAGGGCCAATTTAGACAGGATCCAATTAACCTACCAGCATGTCTTTGGAGTGCAGTTGGAAACTGGAGTACCCGGAGGAAACCCACGCAGGCACAGGGAGAACATGCAAACTCCAGACAGGTGGTGCCATGGCTGGGATTTGAACGAACAACCCTAGTACTGCCAGGCGGAAGTGCTAACCATTTAGCCACTGTGCTGCCCATATAGCCACTTGTAGCCCATAAAAAAAAGTCTGGGTCTGGGTCTGCCATGCCTGATAAAGACCTTTGTGTCAAGATTACCAGGTACTGTTTTAATAAAAGCAGCAGATATAAAACATATTGAAAATTACCTTGAACCTTTAATTAACATATTAAAGCTTATAGGAGAGGAGGGGCTGACAGATACTTTAAGATTTAATTTGTCAAAAAGGAGGAAGAACAACAGCGGCCCATACTTCTTTCAAGTAATAAAGTTAAATGTATTACTTTAGGTTTAGGAACACGTTTTATTATTATAGCCTGAGGTATGGTCATTTGCATGCTTAGCTTTATTACCTTGTTTTACAATATGTGTAACTTATCGAGACAGGAAAAAGAAAACCTACACATTACGTTATGTTGTACCTTGGCTGATGTTGAGAAGTGGAATTTCAACCAGTCAAAGTGCCGCCCATGCTTCATCACTGCAGTAAATGCAAAAGGGTCAGTGATAAAATGAATGAATTGTCCTGCAATCTTGCAGGTGAAGATATCACCGAATTTCTTTTGCCTTGATCTGAGGAACTCAAGAGGGTTGGCCCCAAACTGCAAGGCACAACCCATGTAGGGAATGAGCCCATTTTCCAAGGGTGGTTCACCCGGCTGCCTGCAATGACAAGAACAGGCATGTATACCCTTTTATTACTTGTTACAGTTTTACATAATATTACCTATTCTCACATGATTCCTTTGACATGTACAGTACTTCATTTACTCACTTGCTGTGAAACACATTTTGTTCTGACCATCTCACAGTAGATAAAACCAACAACAAAAATCAAATATTTAAAAAAGAAGGCTATGCAGGGTTATTGGCAACTATACTGCTGAAAACTTTTTCTTGCTGAATTATTTTTTCACTCTTATGACAAAAAAGTATAGTTCTATTTAAACTTGCTTTGTAAAAATATAATATGCAACAATGTAAAAAAAATCAGTTGTAGGTTAGTTGGTAATCATGGCCACTGGAGATCATCTATGCTGTACCTGTTTAGAAAAGCCCTTATAGCTATGCTAAGACAACACAGTGCCATAAAACACTAACTGTAACTTTGGTGTCATGTGGCAGTGTGTTTTCTTGGTATAGCTATAATGTAGCAAGTTTAAATATATACTGTATATACACTAGCAAATTCAACACATAATTGGTAGCCAGCATGATCAACATTATTAAACACAAGCTTAATTCAGGATTTTGATTCTTACCGTCTTCTAATGCCAACAATAAGCCAGAACAAACAGCACAGAGCCACAACTGATCCCCATATTAATGATATGGTCAGCATCTTTTACTATGATGGAATCTCAGGATGGACCACACTTTCAAGTGTAAGCTAAGAGCAGTGCTGAAGGGTAGAAAGTGGTCATCATTTATATACCCATTGCAGAATAATGGGCTGTGTAGAAATGAACTCAAGTAACCAAGAATAAGTATTGATGATTAACCTCTCAGCCAATGGGATGCTCTCCTTTAAGCTTGTGCTACTGTGCATCTGTAAAAAAAAAAAAAAATCAAAAGTCTCAGCCCAAACCATCATAGAGATAGCCTTGACCATTGTCCACAGGTATGATGAGGTTCCAAAGTAAGCAAAGAGTTGTAATAATAGATAATCTGAAGGTCTCTGGGTGTGTTCAGGTCTTTCATATGAGCTTACAAACAGTTGACTATAGGTCACTGGGTCCTGGCATGCATTTACTTTTCACTTTTTTTCTGGTGTTCTTTCCTAGCTCAGCAGTAGCAATGCAGCAATAGTACTAAGGACCACTTTAGGTATTTATTTCACCTGTGATTCTGAGACGAGAAATGGAAACATGAATTGTTAAATTATGTCATTTTGAGTTGCCACCTGAACAGGAATAGAGGGGAAGTCTCACTAGAACACTTTTTGTAACAATTGTCCATTTAACCACTAGCCTACAGGGCACTTATACCCCCTTCCTGCCCAGGCCAATTTACAGCTTTCAGCGTTGTCACACTTTGAAAGACAATTGCGCGGTCATGCAACACTGTACCCATATGAAATTTTTATCATTTTTTTGTGACAGATAGAGTTTTATTTTGGTGGTACTTAATCACCTCTGGGTTTTTTATTTTTTCTTAAACAAACCAAAAACCACTGAAAATTATGAAAAAAAAAAAGTTTTTTTCTTAGTTTTTGTTATAAAATTTTGTAAAGTGATGTTTCTCCTTCACTGATGTGCGATAATGAGGCTGCAGTGATGGGCACTGATAGGCTGCACTGATGGACACTGATAAGTGGCACTGATGGGCACTGATGAGGAGGCACTGGTAGGTGGCACTGATGGGCACTGAAAGGCAGCACTGATATATGGCACTGATAGGTGGCACTGATAGGTGGCACTGATAGGCGGCACTGACTGGCACTGTTAGGTGGCACTGACTGGCACTGTTAGGCGGCACTGATAGGCAGCACTGACGGGCACTGATAGGCGGCACTGATGCACACTGATAGGTGGCACTGACTTGCACTGATAGGCGGCATTGGCTGGCACTGATTGGTGGCACAGATTGGCAGCACTGATAGGTGGCACTGATGGGTGACACTGAAAGGCAGCTCAGATGGGCACTGATATGTGGCATTGATGTGCACTGATGGACACTGGCAGGTGGCATGGATGAGCACTGAGAGCTGGCACTGATGAACACTGACAGGTGACACTGCTGGGGCTACACAGATCATCAGGGCACACTGATCATCAGTGCCCTGATGGTCAGTGCACATGTCCCCTCGGAGGAATGCCGATTACCGGCTCTCCTCTCCTCACGAGCTGTCAGCGTGACAGCTCATGAGGAGAGAAATGCCGATAATCGGTATTTCCCTGTTTACATGTGATCAGCTGTGATTGGACACAGCTGATCACATGACTGAGCTGAAATCTTTGGCTCTTTCTGTGGATCGGTGGTCCACTGTGTACAAGGGACACAGCGCACCGCCGATCGCGGTGCTGCGCGCTCCCGGGAGCCGCGCATGTGCGGTGAGAATGGGAGGATGTCATATGACATCCTCCTAGAATGAGAGAACTGCCTTGCGCCCGTCATTGGACTATATGGCGGGCGGGAGGCGGTTAAAGAGAGTGGACTTCTAGCTTTAGAGATTTTCTCTCTCTAGAAATGCAAAAAAAAAAAAAAAGTTTTGTCTTTAGATATAATTTAAACCTGGGGTACTCAATCTTTTAAAGAGCAAGGGCCACTTAAGTGATTTGATAACTGATCGCAGGCCACAATGAACTATGGGGTTTTACCACCCCTCAAGGGGAAACGTTAGCTGTATAAAGCCATGTTAAAAACATGAGTTTTTCAACCCTTCTTAGCGTTTTTGCATTAGCATTTAGCTGTGTTTTGGAGCGATTAGCGGCGTTTTTCCACGTTTGCGTTTTTTTTGGGTTTTTTTTTACCAAAAAATAATTTTACTTGGTCAAAAAAAGTGCAAAACTCCAGTTTTTCCGCGTCTTACCGCGTTTTACCGCGTTTTTCAGCGTTAGAGTGTTTTTACAGCTAAAATACTCCTCTAGAAACCCACCAGTCCTGTTTTTTTTTCAGCCAAAAAATGTTGATTACAGTCTATGTGTACATGGACACATAGGATAACATGCTGGGGAGTTTACTGGCTGTAGAAAAGAACGTCAAAAGCCAAAAACAGCCGCTGTAAAAACGTCCAGTGTGCATGACGGCTAAGGCAGTTTATGGCTCAGTGCAGATAACCCCCAGGAAAGCCACAGGTGCACTGTACTGCATCCGTGAATCAGTGTGAATGCAGCCTAATATTATTATTTTACAGGATTTATATAGTGTCAACAGTTTGTGTAGCGCTTTACAACATGAGGGTAGATAGTACAATTACAATACAATTCAATATACCGTAGGTAGAATTAGATGTTCTTACACTCTAATAGCCGTTAACCTATAGGTGCTAATATGCCCATTGTGAAAGCTATTATGCCCATTGTATGTGATGTTTAATGCAGGGACCTTTTTCTCTTGCAGCTGCTTATGGCATTCCTCCCCAGGCTGATAGAAAGGATTAGAGGTGGAGTGCACTTGGTATCACTCTGCCTGGGACAGGAGCTGGCGCTACAGAGGAAGCATCAGCTTATGTGGCCCCTGCTCCCTCCGCTGCTGGCTCACTGCATACCAATGCTCTGTGATGGCAGGTTGGCAAGTCCAGATCGTGATCAATGGACTTACAACCCATTGCACTGGATCGAATGAGGTCTCAGGTAAGTAATAAACGGGGGGGTAATATTGATGCCTTTTTTCTTACTAATGCAAGGAAAAGTAAAAAATGTTTAGGCTTTATAATTACTTCAAATCCCCAGTCAGGTTCTTATTTTTCCAAGTTGTGCCCCATTTAGGAGATTTCCCTTCAATCCCTGTCCCATAAGCACAAGAGAAGGAATCCTCCCTTAGACAGCTGTCACCACAACAAAGTTTCCAGTCCAAAGAATTTTGTGCTATATTTGTTCAAGATGACAACTAACAATTTTGGATTTTGCCATCACTTTCTGTTTTGGCAACAATGGCCACCAGCAAAATAGGAGTGAATCTCCCTAGTGGGGACCCAGACAATAATAAAAGCCTTAGAGGAGTTCAAACATTCTCTACTCTATCCAAAACTAAAAAATTGTTTTGACGTTAGATACACTTTTTGCGATTTCCTTTTTTAGGTGATCTCATTGATTCTCACCTTGCTCTCTAGAGACGTATACTTACCTTGATCCAACTGCTGTGGCCTCTGAGGATTGTTTACATCTTGCACAGCAAGTCCTCGCTCCCTTGGCTGTACCTGTGCAGTAGAGCCCCATAGAAGTCTATGGAGCCTGTCTACCTCCATCTCCACTGTGAAGGAGAACAACAAAAGAGAAGCGCACCAACCTTGCGCATTACCTCAGTAACCAAAAATTTATTGAATAAAAGAATGGTACTCACAAACAGCGAATAAAAACAAGCATGTAAGTCCTCAAGGGGACTTTAGAGGCAAGATGCCAATGCGAATCCCGTCATGGAGGAAGCCACTCAGTACAGCTGACGCGTTTCGAAGGACGTGCCTTCTTCCTCAGAGCTGCTCTGAGGAAGAAGGCACGTCCTTCGAAACGCGTCAGCTGTACTGAGTGGCTTCCTCCATGACGGGATTCGCATTGGCATCTTGCCTCTAAAGTCCCCTTGAGGACTTACATGCTTGTTTTTATTCGCTGTTTGTGAGTACCGTTCTTTTATTCAATACATTTTTGGTTACTGAGGTAATGCGCAAGGTTGGTGCGCTTCTCTTTTGTTGTTCTCCTTCACAGTTTTGTTTGGGCTTCCCCAGCCTTGATGTGGAGCTGCACGACCTTGTCTATTCCGGTGGTCCCTTCCTTTTTGGAGTTTGATTCCATCTACTTACCACCGGCCTGGGTCCCGGAGCGCAGGAGATATTGCATTTGGTTACCTCCATCTCCAGCCAGGAGATGCAGGTTGGCTTTAGCCATCAGATGTGTCAGAATTTGCCATACCTCTGAAAAACAATCCAACAGGAATAATTTGTTTGACAGGATGTATGGCTCACTGCCTGTTTTAACCCTGTAAGGGCTTGTTCACACTTGACTAAATTTCAAACTCTTCACAAACGCCCCTATAGCATTAGTATGGGCATTAGACAGGCATTAGCCATTTGCCCTCCTGAGGATTTACCTCCATTCCTGGCCAGGCCATTTTTTGCGTTATGGCGCTGCTTTACTTTAACTGACAATTGTGCGGTCATGCAGCGCTGCACCAAAATGAAATGTATGTCATTTTTTTTCCCACAAATTGAGCTTTCTTTCGGTGGTATTTGGTCGCCTGTGTGTTTTTCATTATTTACACTATAAAAAAAACCAAGACCAACAATTTTGAGAAAAAAACTATATTTTTGACTTTTTGCTATTAAATCTGTCCAGTAGAAAAATTTAAAAAATCAAATTTCATCATAAATTTAGGCCAAAATGTATTCTGCTACATGTCTTTGCTAAAAAAAATCCTAATACATTTAAATTAATTGGTTTACGTGAAAGTTATAGCGTTTACAAATGGCAGTATAGATCCCGGGATTTTCTTTTTTCTACTAATAATGGCGGCAATCAATGACTTATAGCGGGACTGTAGGACTGAGGCGGAAACTGAGGAAGAGGCAAGTCCTCGAAACGCGTCAGCCTATTGGATGTCTACACTCCCTATTGCGGACTGTTACTCAGCGCGGTGTTGACCCAGCTGTTCTTTATGATGTGCCTTGACTATATTGTTGTTTGTGAGTACAACACCTACTTTATTTTTTATTAAACATTTTTTATGGTAATGCACTAGGCCTGTGTGCCCTCTGTTTTTTCTTTCCTCACTGGGGGGAACTGACTTGGTGTCACTGACATCCCTAGTGACACCAATACAGTGATCAGTGCTAACAAAAAGCACTAACACTGTACTAATGGTACTGGCAGGAAAGGGTTAACATGAGGGGCGATCAAAGGGTTAACTGTGCACAGTCATCCAAAGCAGTGTGCCTGAGCTGACAGGGAGAACTGTTAGTAAACGAAACAGTCCTCTTCCCCAGTGGAGATGCTCGGTAATCACCGGACACCGGCATATGATCAATGGCCGGGACCCGATGATTGACAGCTGCAGCCGCCCCTACCAGGAAATGCAAAATCACGTATACATACGTGATTTTGTGCACCCCTGCTGCCCTGTAGCAGTATATCTGCTATAGGGCAGTCGGGAAGCAGTTATTGAGCTTTAGTATGGGTGATTTACAAGTGTTAAAAGTGTATCACAAACACCTATAATAAACTCTAATGGTATTAATGCACCACAACCGCACTGAAAATGCCACGCAAACGCCTGCCAGGGTGTTTAAGGAGTTTCACCATATACCTGAATTCGAGGCGTTGAAAGGTTTCAAACTCCTCCTGACTCGACATGGGGCTTCAATTTAAAGCAACGTTAATACTTCATGTTTTGATAATGTGAACAGTACTGTGTGTTACCCATAGTATCATTTCCATAGACGTTTGAGGAGCATTAAATACACCCTTCAAACTCCTGCTTTCAATGTTCTGATGAGCTACTTTGGAAAACTGTGTATACAATTCAATTACAAAGTGCAGAATAGGTTCCAGACTTTTTTTTATTATTAGCAACTAAGACCTTTAAGGCCAGAAGTAGTTATTCATTATACCCAAGCCACATTCAAATTGTTGTAGCTTTTTGCAACGTGCTGTTCATCTCTGGTGGTGCTTGCTAGATACACTGACTATGCTTAAAATTCTGTGCATGGGCTATAAAGGCGGGGGAGGGTAATAAATATTGCCAAACAGCTGAACTCCATGCAGCAATGAAAGAATAAAGTAAAAGCAGCTCCGTATTCATGTCAAGCAAACTTTTTTTTTATAAGTTTTGGATAGAGTGTGAAAGGATTAGAATTTAGAACCCATCTCTGGATTTTATTTCTATGCTAAAGGCAGTTCACACTGTAGTGGATCTGTGCAGGCACAGCACCTCATTCATTTGAATGGGCTGCTCCACCTGAGTGAAATGCAGGAATAAAAGTTCCCAACCCTTTTTCAAAACCGCAGCAGCATGGAATTCCCTCAGCCAAAACATGCTGTGTTATCCAGTGCATAGGGGTGTCATTAAAAATTAATGGCACATCTTTTAAACAGCAGTACATCTTGCCTGTGGGTTACACAAGTTCCTGCACCCGCTACAAGGTGAATCTAGTGTTAGGAACATGTTACATGTTCACTTGTATTTAGTGTGCAACATGTTCCTGAGCTCCCACTTCCCACCACTAGACACTGTGACAGCATTCAGGGGGGTTCCTCTCCCCAGCAGCTGCTGTCACATTGCGGCCCCTTTCACACAGACGTTCCGTATGTCCGTTTTTCATCTGTCCATTTACGGATGAAAAACAAACACCCATGTA